CCGGCTTCCTGTTCTAAAGAAACATCTCCCAGGCACATGGCGGTAGATCCTGCATTCACGGGGCTAGGGACTCAGCCTCCCCACTCCCAAACCTCCTTGATTTTTGGGCCATGGTCACTGCTTCACTGGGGTTCTGGCTCCCTGTTGGGAAGCTGTGCCTGGGCCAGCATGCCCATTGGCACCAGGGTGACATTAACTGGAAGACATGGCATGAGTGGCCTTGGGTTCCCTGGCAGTAGGCAGATGTGGTTCTGGCCCTGCAGGCCATGCAACCCTGTGTGAACCCTGTTCGTCTCAGCCTGGCTTTGCCTGTGAGCAGAGAGAACACCCCCTCTGAGAGCAGCGGGAGGTCACGTGGAAACGTAAGGCGCTGGGTCAGAGCTGTGACCCAGCCACTCCTCAGTTCCAGACACCCTTCCCAATCTAAGCACTACGTGCCCCAAGGCAGCAAGGGCACTAGATGTGGGGTGGCCAGGATGAGGTGTGTGCTTTAAACCACCCTTAAAACCCAACCTTAGTAGTTAAACTGTCATTATGATCTACACTTAAAATTCTAGATTTAAAAATCAGGGAAAGAAATTCTCTGGTCCCCCGCCCCATCCCTTCAGGCTTTCCTGGCCCCCCTCCCCCAGCAGGTGCTGCTGGAAGGAGCCCGTGTTATGTTTGGGGAAGATGGTTCCCACCGTGTCACAGGGTCTTCCTGAGGGAGAAGCCCTCAAAGTCAGTGTGCTGCCTTCGCTGTGTGGGCCTACCGCTCAGCCGTGCTTCTCTGTGACGTAGGAACACCGCTGAGACTCCTATGCACACCACATGTGGTGAGGAAGGGCCATTTTCCTTTCTTATGGACACTGCAGGTTATGCAACAGACCCTCCCTCCTCCCACTCTGCTTTGTCTCTAAGAAATTTACAATCCACCAGTGTAGGCCTTGGAGTATTTTGCTTATTCCATTTAGTGGCTTTATCTTTTCCCCACTTAATTTTTTTTCTTAACCTAATTACCACATTTACTAAAACTAAGCAACTACAAACCACTTTAGAAAGGAGGTAGAGAATAAACAGGTAAACAAATAAAAGTAAACCATCTGTTTCCTTTGACAGGTCAACCACCTTCATCCTCTTTCTTTAAAATATCAAGACGACGTGATAAAGTCATTTAAAGAGTATTGGTACATGAATAAATAACACACACACACACACACACACACACACACACACAATCTGATGTTATGGGAACACTCTCTATCGTTTCTTTCTTCCTCCTCTTACTAGATTTCCAATAAAATACATATAGTCCATTACAACGCACAAAGGAAAACTATTTCTGACTGCCCCAACCCTTTAAATACAGTTCCTCATGTTGTGACCCAACCATAAAATTATTTTCGTTGCTACTTCATAACTGTAATTTTGCTACTGTTATGAATCGTAATGTAAATATCTGATATGCAGGATGTATTTTCATTGTTCACAACCCACAGGTTGAGAACCGTTGGACTATATGAAGCTAAAGACATGCTAGTAACTGAGAAGGGACTTTTGATGGCATCTCAAAAATGTCTTAGGTATTATCTTTGAATTATATTAGCAGCATTTCTTGTCACAAACATTTTAAAATAATTCCTGCAACTGTCCCGATAGAGACTCAAGGATAACGCCATCAGTCTCTGTCCTAGAAGAAAATCCGGTTTGGGATGCCTCTAACTCGAATAACATAAGATGGGTTATAAATGACCACAACCCCCAGACAGCTGGTGCTGGGCCCCTTGGCCTCCTGGCTGCACCATGGCTGCCCCAGCCAATGAGCGTGGAGAGTTTATTCAGACGACAGTACAGAGCACAGTCTGCATAAATGACTTCACCACGAGAAACAATGTTTGTTTGCTGGGTTTGCACACAGATGGGTTTGTGGGTTTTCTAAATGAAGTAAAAAACACCATTTTTATTTGCAATCACTCTACTTGTCTTTATTTAAAAAAATAAATGTATTTTTATTGATTTCAGAGAGGGAGGGAGAGAGAAACATCAATGATGAGAGAGGAACATTGATCAGCTGCCTCCTTCACGCCCCCTACTAGGGATCAAGCCTGCAACCTGGGCATGTGCCCTGACCAGGAATCAAACGGAGACCTCCTGGTTCATAGGTCAATGCTCAACCACTGAGCCACGACAGCCGGGCTCTGCCTGTCTTTTTTTTGCAATCTAAAGGACTAACATATGTTTCCATTCATTTTCAAATGGCTTCATCAGAGGTCTGTGGGTCTAACCACAGTGCCACCCTGGCTGAGGACTTCTTTTCTCAATCTCCACGCTAGCAACCCAGATTCCTAAGGATCAAAACAGGAAGTAACTGTAGTGCGTGAGCTTGACAAATGACTCAGCGCGAGGATCCCCGATGGGACGCTTAGTGGCAGGCGGTCCCCTGCTCCTACACGGGGGCTTCGATCAACACAACACGAACAGCAAGAACCTGACGCCCAGAAACTGGACAAGAATGTGCTGTGTTCAGGGGATTCCTGGCATTGGTCTGATGGAGACCCAGGAGGGTGTCCTGTCTCTGCCTCTCCCCTCAGGCATTGTGAGAGCACTGAGCACAGGAAGCGCTCCCCACCTGCGGATGACCTTGGGCGAGTCCCTTGACCTTCCTGGGCCTCTATTTCTTCATCTGCAGACTGAAACCCAGGGATCCATCCACCAAGTATACATAGACTGCCTGCTCCGTGCCAGGCTCTGTGCCAGGCTCCACGCCAGGCCTGGGGCATCAGGGTGAAAAGGACAGCCCAGTCCTGACATGGACCCCAGGGAGCTGAGTAGGTGGCAGAAAGCAACCCCTGTGATGTGAAAGCACATGGGTATCTCAATGATACTCATCATGGCAATAACATGTATGGGAACCACATGCCAGGGCCTGTTCTGAAGATCATCTCCTGTGACTCTTCAACACCCACCTGAGACGATGCTGGTGTCAGTCCCATTCTGCACACAGCCACCCGTGGTGCAACGAGGCGGCTGGGGCAGGGTCCCCTGATGAAGGTGACGGGATTCCACAACCACCTGGCTGATTCCTCAGGCGTGCAGACTGCCCTCTTCATGCCCCGCAGGTCTGGGGATGTGTTTAGGGTGCTACTGAACCCGTCCTGCTTGGTATCCTCTTGACTGGGTCCAAAGGAGAATGCTCGCTCTGCCCTGGCTGCTGGGCACTCACTGTCCGCTCCCCGCCACATGGCACACCACCTCCGGCAGCCAACCAGAGTCAGCCAGCTCACAAGGGGGAGCACCAACCGGAAACAGCACGCTTGCTGCCCACCCCGGCCTGAAACGCAGCTGCTTGGTCACAGTTACAGCTCAAGCTTCTTCACAAGGGACAGTCGGACAAGAACGCTGATGCGCACGCCTGCACCAGGGCTCTGAGCCACTCATTGAAGCCTCACACTCCACTAACTCCTTCACCTGTTCACTCACTCACTCACTCACTCACTCACTCACCTGTTCACTCACTCACTCACTCATTCACTCACTCACCTGCTCACTCACTCACTCACTCACTCATTCACTCACTCGCCTTTTCACTCACTCACTCACCTGTTCCCTCACTCACTCACCTGTTCACTCACTCACTCACTCATTCACTCACTCACCTGCTCACTCACTCACTCACTCACTCATTCACTCACTCGCCTTTTCACTCACTCACTCACCTGTTCCCTCACTCACTCACCTGTTCACTCACTCACTCACTCATTCACTCACTCACCTGCTCACTCACTCACTCACTCACTCATTCACTCACTCGCCTTTTCACTCACTCACTCACCTGTTCCCTCACTCACTCACCTGTTCACTCACTCACTCACTCATTCACTCACTCACCTGCTCACTCACTCACTCACTCACTCATTCACTCACTCGCCTTTTCACTCACTCACTCACCTGTTCCCTCACTCACTCACCTGTTCACTCACTCACTCACTCATTCACTCACTCACCTGCTCACTCACTCACTCACTCACTCATTCACTCACTCGCCTTTTCACTCACTCACTCACCTGTTCCCTCACTCACTCACCTGTTCACTCACTCACTCACTCATTCACTCACTCACCTGCTCACTCACTCACTCACTCACTCATTCACTCACTCGCCTTTTCACTCACTCACTCACCTGTTCCCTCACTCACTCACCTGTTCACTCACTCACTCACTCATTCACTCACTCACCTGCTCACTCACTCACTCACTCACTCATTCACTCACTCGCCTTTTCACTCACTCACTCACCTGTTCCCTCACTCACTCACCTGTTCACTCACTCACTCACTCATTCACTCACTCACCTGCTCACTCACTCACTCACTCACTCATTCACTCACTCGCCTTTTCACTCACTCACTCACCTGTTCCCTCACTCACTCACCTGTTCACTCACTCACTCACTCATTCACTCACTCACCTGCTCACTCACTCACTCACTCACTCATTCACTCACTCGCCTTTTCACTCACTCACTCACCTGTTCCCTCACTCACTCACCTGTTCACTCACTCACTCACTCATTCACTCCTTTACCTGTTCACTCACTCACTCACTCACTCACTCAGCTGTTCACTCACTCATTCACTCACTCTTTCACCTGTTGACTCACTCACTCACTCCTTCACTCACTCAGTCCTTCAGCCAGTACTCATTTGGGCCCACTTTGTGGCAGGTACTGAACTAGGGAAAGTCTTGTCTGCATGGAGCTCACTCTAGTAGTGAAGACAAATAGCACAACACACAGCAAGTGCGCTCACGATGAGCGGGCCTCTCCTCCTGCGTGCGCTCAGACCTGCAGGGCCCACGTGGTAAAGGGCACAAGGCAACTGGGGCCTAGTCCCTCATCAGTGTCCAACCTGCTGCCCGTCAGACCCAGGGACCTCAGCAATCACACGGTGCCCGGGGCCCATCCCGAAACAGCAAGTCAGAGTCTCTGGAGATGAGGCCTTGCCTCCGCTCCGACAGCCCACCTTTCTGCTCTTGCTTGGCCCAGAAGAGTCTGACCCGCTCACGGATGTGCTTGTCCTCGCGCAGCTTCTTCTGCCACTGACGCAGCTCTTGGATCTCAGGATCACAGCGAACCTGAAAAATCCCCAAAGCGTGAGTCCCCCTTGAACCTGAACCCCCCAAAGCGTGAGCCCCCCCAAAATCATTAGTCCCCTTCCGCTTGGGTGAACTCAGCTTGTTAGCCCCGCGTGGGACCCTACAAACCAATCTGACAGCTTCCAGCTCCAATAAGCCATCTTTGCTCCAAAAGTTTACATAAAGTGTGAGCATAAATAAGGCGTGAGGCTTTGCAATTCTAACAGAGGGTGGGGAACACCCAAGATCCAGGCTGTGCAACGAAAATATAATGGGGCCACGTATGGAGTTTTAGATTTCCTTGCAGTATCCTCTTAAAAGTTAAAACAAGCTTCTGGCTTTATATTTAAGAATATATTTTATTTAAGCTAAAAGATCCAAAATGTCATTTCAACACACACTCAATATAAAAGGATGACTGAACTTCACTGTCAGTTTCTGTGCTGCCTTCATGGTGGGCTGTGCTCACAGCACGTCTCAGCGTGACCCACACACACAGTGCTCAACAGCCCCTGCAGGCCAGGGCAGTGGCCCAGGCTAATCGTGGTCCCCATGTCACCACAGCTCTGTGCCTACTGTACCGTGGGGTTTGAGCTGGACATTAGATACGGGGATAGTGGAAGTAATTATAATTACTATTTTCATTATTACTATAGCTCATATCTATTGAGCAGGTATGTCCCAGGCACTGTTTAAGTGTTTTAGAAATTTTAATCATCAAAACTACCCACTGAGGCAGGAATGATGATCCCCATTCCACAGGCACGGAGACTGAGTCACAGACTGGAACGGGATGGGACTAGGGTTTGGATGTGGGCAGGCTGTCCTGGCCATCCTGGAAGAATGCAGTGAGAGACACGGCACACAGGAGGGCCAGCCAGTAAGGTGCGAGCAAGAATGTGGGTGGGTAAGGGACACCAGTGGGCGCTGCACTCGCCTGAAGTGGGAGGAAGCATTTCATGGAGCAGGCACCTCTGGGCTGAGTTTTTGTTTTGTTTTGTTTTTTTAAGAGAGGGAGAGGGAGAGAGAGACAGAAACATCAAGGATAAGGGAGAATCACTGATCGGCTGCCTCCTGCATGCCACCTACTGGGAATCAAGCCTGCAACCTGGGCATGTGCCCTGGACTGGAATTGAACCCAGGACCCTTCAGTCCATAGGCCAATGCTCTATCCACTGAGCCAAACCAATCAGGGCTCTGGGCTGAGTTTAGAAGGATGAATTAGAGTCAGCCATGGAGGAAGGGGTTGATGGTATTCCAGGGGAGACACCAGCCTGTGCAGGGTGCAGGGGGTGCACAGCCCTGAGGACCCGGAAGTCCCATGAGAAAACAGGAGAGCCACTCGCCCTTCCCGCCTGCTTCACCCTCTCCCTCTCCACAGCGCCCCTTGAGTGGCTCTCAGGATTAAAGGACTGATTTATACATGTTGGTGTGTGTCCACTTTCTTTTGAAAGATAAGTTAAAGTTCCAGATGCTGAGACATCTGGAAAATATGTCTCCCGGATAACAGTCTCCTGACTCAGCTCTTTATAGAATTACTAGGGGCCTGGTGCACGGAATTCGTGCACACAGGGGGTGGGGTTGGGGGTGTTGTTCCTCAGCCCAACCTGCACCCTCTCCAATTTGGGACCACCACTGGTTCCTAACTTAGAGCGCCAGTGGGTCTTTCTTTATTTTTATTTATTTAAATTTTTTTAAAGGGCTAAGTCTATGATTTTTAATTAAAACTGAAAAATGTCCGGGATAGGAATGACAGAGGACCCATACTAGGTGGATGGGATCCTGGGGTTGGAGAGTAGGGAACATTGTTGACACAGTTGTCAGAATTCAAATGGGGTCTGTGGATTGAACCTTAATACTGTTTGAATGGAGACTTCCTCACGTTGTTCGGTGGAGAATTGTTATGCAGGAGTGTCTGCTTTTGGGAAATACACAGGGGAGTATCCGGGCAGCCTGTCATGTGTAGAGCATGCCCTCAAACAGCTCAGAAAAAGACTGGGGAGCGGTGGCGCCGGGCTTCTCCCCGCAGGGGCCCCCAGTATGGTTGACTATATTGTGGAGTATGACTATGATGCTGTGCATGATGATGAATTAACTATTCGAGTTGGGGAAATCATCAGGAATGTGAAAAAACTACAGGAGGAAGGATGGCTAGAAGGAGAACTAAATGGAAGAAGAGGAATGTTTCCTGATAACTTTGTTAAGGAAATTAAGAGAGGAACAGAATCCAAGGATGACAATTTGCCCATCAGACGGGAAAGGCATGGGAATGTAGCAAGTCTTGTACAACGAATAAGCACCTATGGACTTCCAGCTGGAGGAATTCAGCCACATCTGCCAACTAAAAACCTTAAAAAAAAAAAATAAAAGATCAAGAAGCGGCAATGTAAGGTTCTGTTTGAGTACATTCCACAAAATGATGATGAACTGGAGTTGAAAGTGGGAGATATTATTGATATTAATGATGAGGTAGAAGAAGGCTGGTGGAGTGGAACCCTGAACAATAAGTTGGGACTGCTTCCCTCAAATTTTGTGAAAGAATTAGAGATAACAGATGATGGTGAAACTCATGAAGCCCAGGAGGATTCAGAATCTGTTTGGACTGGGCCCACCTTATCTTTCCCCTCTCAGGGGAATGGGAATGAAACTGCACCCGGATCGGTGACACAGCCAAAGAAAATTCGAGGGATTGGATTTGGAGATATTTTTAAAGAAGGCTCTGTGAAACTTAGGACAAGAGCATCCAGTAGTGAAACAGAAGAGAGAAAATCAGAAAAGCCCTCAGTCATACAGCCAGTAGGATCCAGAACTCAGAACACGGAGATAACAAAATCAGACACTGAAGGTAAAACAAAAGCTAAGGACTATTGTAGAGCGTTATTTGCCTATGAAGATACTAATGAAGATGAACTTACTTTTAAAGAGGGAGACATAATCCACTTGATAAGTAAGGAGACTGGAGAAACTGGCTGGTGGAAGAGTGAACTTAATGGTAAAGAAGGAGTATTTCCGGACAATTTTGCTGTTCAGTTAAATGAACTGGATAAGGACTTTCCAAATTTTGTGAAAGAATTAGAGATAACAGATGATGGTGAAACTCATGAAGCCCAGGAGGATTCAGAATCTGTTTGGACTGGGCCCACCTTATCTTTCCCCTCTCAGGGGAATGGGAATGAAACTGCACCCGGATCGGTGACACAGCCAAAGAAAATTCGAGGGATTGGATTTGGAGATATTTTTAAAGAAGGCTCTGTGAAACTTAGGACAAGAGCATCCAGTAGTGAAACAGAAGAGAGAAAATCAGAAAAGCCCTCAGTCATACAGCCAGTAGGATCCAGAACTCAGAACACGGAGATAACAAAATCAGACACTGAAGGTAAAACAAAAGCTAAGGACTATTGTAGAGCGTTATTTGCCTATGAAGATACTAATGAAGATGAACTTACTTTTAAAGAGGGAGACATAATCCACTTGATAAGTAAGGAGACTGGAGAAACTGGCTGGTGGAAGAGTGAACTTAATGGTAAAGAAGGAGTATTTCCGGACAATTTTGCTGTTCAGTTAAATGAACTGGATAAGGACTTTCCAAAACCAAAGAAACCACCACCTCCTGCTAAGGGTCCAGCCCCAAAGCCTGAGCTGATATCTACAGAGAAAAAGTATTTTCCTGTAAAGCCTGAAGAAAGAGATGAAAATTCCATGCTGGACCAGAAACCTTCTAAACCACCTGCTCCACAAGTTCTACCCAAGAAGCCTACTCCACCCACCAAAGCCAATAATTTATTGAGATCTTCTGGAACAGTGTACCCAAAGCAACCTGAGAAACCAGTTCCTCCACTACCACCTGTAGCCAGGATTAATGGGGAAGTGCCTGCCATTTCATCAAAATTTGAAACTGAGCCAGTATCAAAACCAAAGTTAGATTCTGAACAGTCACCACTTAGACCAAAATCAGTAGATCTAGATTCATTTACAATTAGGAGCTTTAAAGAAACAGATATTGTGAATTTTGATGACATAGCTTCCTCAGAAAACTTACTCCATCTCAGTGCAAACAGACCGAAGATGCCTGGAAGAAGGTTGCCTGGCCGCTTCAATGGCGGGCATTCTCCAACTCAAAGCTCAGAAAAAATCTTGAAGTCACCCAAAGAAGAAGATAGTGCCAACATAAAACCATCTGAATTTAAAAAGGATTCTTGCAACTCTCCAAAGCCATCTCTGTACCTTTCAACACCTCCAAGTCCTTCAAAACCAAATGCGGCTAGTTTTTTAACTCCATTAGAAATCAAAGCTAAATTAGAAGCAGACGATGGGGAAAAAAATTCCCTGGATGAAATTAAAGCTGAGATGATTGAACTGCTGTGCATTGTGGAAGCACTGAAAAAGAAGCACGGGAAAGAACTGGAAAAACTATGAAAAGATTTGGAAGAAGAGAAGGCTCCGAGAAGTAATCTAGAGGTAGAAATTGAGAAGCTGAAAAAAGCTGTCCTATCTTCTTGAAGAGGCACGGGCCCAGTATTTATAATGAAATGGAGATTCAGAGGCAACACTATGAACTTCAATTTACTTGTTACTTAAAAATAACAAATACTGATGTTGTGGTAAAGAAATATGAGTATATGAACTATAATATCTATAGAAAAGCAGGGGGAGGGTGAATTTTTTTATATATTTTGCTTTGCCAATATGAGGGGGGAAAGAGGCCTTATTTCTTACGTGCTGGGATTGCAAACTTCTTTTTTAGTTTGCTTGAAAATACTACTGAATCTGTATAAAAAGGAAAATTCACAATAGTTTTTATATTGAAATGTATTATTTTTAACGAGATCTATACTATAAATATGATATCTTTACAAATAATCTGTAAAATATACTATTTGAGAGAGACAAATTAACTTTATAGTAACTATTGTCACTATGTTATACTTAGGGGATATGTACTTTTGTGTATATATATAAATATGTATTTTTTTCTTTCACTTTTAGCTTCTTACCCAGGA